GACTCTATGCAGTAAGCTGGTTTAGAATACTTCAAGCTTGATTTTTTTCAACATATTTCCCAAATTATCATTCATGGTCATATTATTTTACACTATATACTTTGTATAGTTGTTAGAAAATAGTTAAAATTTAAAGAAATATATTTTTCATTGGTTAATTGTATCCATTAATATTTGAGTGTCCCGGAAGCGTTTGGTACCAGTCCCCGATCTGTAAATGACGGATGGATGGACGTGCAATGTCTGTTATCTGTTTCTCACGCTCCGCGCCATTTTGACTAGCGCCTCCAGCGCCAAAGTTTCACGGTTAATTCCGCAGAACAATATGCGATTCTTGCGCTACAGTGCTCAGATTAGTCAAGCTTTGTTAAAGTTACCTACCCGAAAGATTAATGCATGATTAGCATTTGTTAAGCTTCTTCTAGTCACGAAGCTTTCATTCATCTTGACGTCTTTAAAAAGTAATTAATTTTTTCACTCTTCTTATTCTTTTTTATATTAACTATCTCCACGTAGCGAACCCTTCTTGAACAGCTGATATTCCTTTCCGATGTTCAAGATATACCAATCTTATATATTATCAAATTTTTAATGTTGGCTCATAAGTTTATCTTCACCATCTTTTTACTGGCTCTACAGCCCTCTAGGGGCCTGGCCTCTGATTTTCAGTTTCATGATCATTTTACAGACGGTAGGACTCTTTGGATGAGCGATCAGCTCGTCGCAGTTGGTCTTCAACTACTAACCTAAAAACAAGTTTGTCGCTGGTTACAATTACGGAGTTGAGGTTAGGTTAAACTCATTCATCTTCATGTTTTATTTCATAATTTTTATTAACGGAGTTTTTATGTGATAACAGCGAGGTTACCCGACATTGAGGAAGAGATCAGAGATAATTTTGACGGATACTTGCATCTATATACCCACTACCGTATCGAGAGTATGATCGAAAGTTATTTTATAATATTACATTTAGACTAATTTCATGGTGTAGAGATCTCCTTGAGAAACCTAATAGTTACTGAGCAGGCCTTACATATCTGCATTTTACAGAACCTGAAGATTCATGATTGTGTTCACAAGATATGAACAATGGTCCCTACCTCGGTCCAGACGAATCCAATGCACATCATCATATTCCATTTATTTAAGATTAATTTCGATATCAACCCCATTCTACGTATGTTCGTTTCCCAGTGACCCAAAAGGTATTCAAGCTAGTGGCTAGTAATTCTAATGTAGCAAAGACAAAATAAAAACGAAGGGAAGACATTAATTAGTTACATTCTGTGTCTTAAAAATTGTTGAGGTTATGTCATCATCAGATAATAACACTGCCAAATCAGAGATGGCGTTGAACTCATAGGGCTTTCCTTCCTTATGATTGCCTGCTTTAGGTATGAACTACATTCAGAGCTATTGTAGATAATGAAGAGGCCCTAATATAGGGCAAAAATCTGCAAACTGCTAACCACCTGAGTCATATTGAAGCGAAGAAAAACAAACGGATTGTTCCACAAAAACGTAGTTTATTTGCTGTACCATATTCTGTGAAGCAGGACGCGTTCACGCTTCATTGAATGTGGTCACCGAAAACCGCAAAATGGCATGAGGCGCTAAATGACCTGATTTAATTTTAATCCAGTCTTTCTGTATATTTTAAAACAGGAAACTAGTTTTATTTTTATATAAATATTTGTTAAATTCGTTTTCAGCATTTTTCAAACTTCTGTGGCCTCCAAAATTAACCATTTAAGAATTACCATCATATCGACGTGGAAATCTTCGTTGCTCGTACCTAACGTTTGCACCAAGAACTCGATAGAATATCGTGTCTATCTCGTGAGAGTCAGAACCTAGTCACCTTAACTAAAGGCATCAATTTTTGGGCTGTGGCATATGAAAGATACAATTTTATAAATTCTTTAATTGATTATATTAATTTATTGCAAATACAAATAATTTATTTAACAGATAATACATATAATCTATTAGTAATATATCGCGGTGATTTACGCGTACATAAAAAGGGAAACGGTTTGTTACTATGTGTGAATGTATGTATGTTAACTGAGGATGTGTATATGTGATGTCGATCTCGTGCTGCAGTAGTTACCACATACTTACATAGGTGGCAGCTGTGCATTCGCAACTCTGCCATCTGGAGATTATATAAGCAACTTAATACAGTTTTAACTGAGGAATAAGGGAAAGAGATAAAGGTAGCTAAGGTACAATAACAATGGAAAGAACAGGATAAAGAACAAAAGTAATTAGAATATGATTCTCTGTTGATAGTCAACAGGCTTCCCAGTGGAAATTATTAATCTCTTCATTTCATTAAATATTAAACGCAACAAAACACGTTCAAAATGCAGGATTATATGTCGTGATATTATGACATGTAAAATTTGTTGTGTGACGAGCTTTCGTTTTTATATAAACTGATAAATTTTTAATTTGACATCGTATAAAGCAGGTGCCAGTTACATTACATCGGTAGGTACCGATATGATGCTCGCCACGAAATTTTCAATAACAAATTTTATCTAAAGCTTTCAATTGGTTTCGGAGGTGAAACAAGCGCAACGGTCAGGAAAATACATATTATCTCCTTTTTACATGTTTCCTCTATGCATTTGTTTGCAAAATAATACGTAAATATGTTCCTGATTTTATGTAATATACTGATACTCGTTTTCTTCTTATTTTCTTGTATATATGTTGTAGTTGGTACTTCTGTTACAAAGGAGATGTCATCACTTCATATGGGAGTATCTTCACATGCTGCTCTCCTCAGGGAATTATATATGTTACCTTAGGGATAACAGCATACTTTGTCTTAATCCTGACATCCTAGTGTATTTGCACGAGTGTTATATGCACTGTGATTAATGGTCGGTGTAATGTAACAGACAAGTATCGTTCCCAGGACAACTTTTACATAGTGATGTGCTTAATATTTCTAGCGAGGAGATATACACTAAAGGGCGTTTATAATTTTACGCCTCAGCCAGAAGGTAGGATTTTTCTTTGCTCGAAAAACAAAACAAACTCCGTGGCCTTTAGTCGGCAAGCGAGCTATACCGACCGAGTGAACGCCGCTTGTCGCCCAAGTAAGCGCCAACTTTAGCCGATACAGGGTGTTGAGGTGTCAGTGCAACAAATCCCCACGGCCGTTAATTTCAGTTTTCTAGACCGAAGCCTCCATTTCCTTAAAATATCTCCTCAATTATCCTCACGAAGGTGAGTCGACCCCGTTCCAAACCCACTATTTCTCAGAAAATCTGGTAGCGCCGGGAGTCGAACCCGGGCCTATGGATCTGTGACCAGGAAATCTGACCAATAGACCACAGAGGCGGTCTTATTTACTCGAAGGATAAGTTAAAATTTGCATAAACTTGTTCCGGTTTCAACCTTAATGAGAGTAATATAATTTTTATTTTCGGTGAATATATTGTTATCCAAAGCTTCCAATTAGAACAGCTTGACAAACCTTCTTAGTACCAGCAAAATGAGAAACGCGTGTTTGCTTACCTCATTTCTTTGACGACCCTGTAAATATCAGAAAATATGTAACTCCGATTGATAGGACGAGCAGTAAATAACGGAGAAAATGTAGTGGCCTATTGTAAGACACAATGGCTATAATCACCCGGAGGTCCCGAAAAACCCCACAAATATCTAATCAGGAAAATCAATATCCCGGCGCATATATAAATGAAAGTAAATGAATTCAAATCCAAATGATGATAAAAATGCAAATTTCGGGCTTACAGTACACGCGTTTACTGTTCTGATTTAATACTAAAATGATAGCCACGCCATAGCTCAAGCGGTTAGTCGCTGGCTTCCTACTACGGCGGCCCGGGTTCTATCCCGGTTCTGGTCAAGTGGGATTTGTGGTGGACAAAGTGGCGCTGGGGTAGGTTTTCTCCGAGTACCTCAGTTCATCCTGTCAATCTTCATTCCACCGAATTCTCCATCATGATAATAACCTGGGGGAGGTACAATAGGCCTATCAGTGCCCGCCGTGCCAAGTGGACCCCGTTGGACTCCACCCTCAATTAAGAATTTTTTTTTAATTTTAAAACTAAAATAACTGAGAATAAGAAAATGTGACAAGCTCCAGAAATTCGGTTTAGTTCGTATATTTTAATAAATCAATAATAATATTATAATATGTAAATTTATACATCCACTCCCCCATACGCCTTCATGGCGTAGTACTAAATTAGTTAAGCACAGGGAAAACTTTACCTTATTAGCCTACTTTCCTTATTTTGTAAAAAAATAAAAGCAGGCTTATGAAATCACCTTTCCATGTGTGTGTGTGTTTGTCTCTCTGTATGTGATTCCCCCTACAATAACTTTTGAATACCTGAATCAAACTTCACGATTCTTGGTACGTATATCACGGGACCTAACCTTATCTCAACGGCGTAATTCATAAATTCTCACCATCAATAATACCAATATTACATCTGGAGGCTTCTCTCTTCTTTGCGACGTCCACGATGGTTCTGAGGTCCTCCCAGCCTGATATCTGATGAGTACTGTGATTACTTCTCCCAAGGGATAACGTGGCATTGGCGTGAAGCTAAATATCAACCCCATCTAGTATCGAAGTTAAGAAGGCTTGGAAACACATCTTCACTCCCCCCATACACTTCATGGCGTAGTGCTTAATTAAGCACAATGACAGTTTTATTTTAGTTTATCTTATATAATTATCTTAGTCATGTGTCTCCGCGTGAAAATAGTTTTCCATTTCTTGTTCAGTTAAAAGTTATTCCCGTTGAAATGTCTGACAGAGAGAATGCCACATCTGAACGTAACATACGAGTAAATAAGTGTAGAAATACCGAAGTTCTTGTTATAGTCTTTAAGTGCTCATAAATAATAGATATTTGGATTCCCGTTTATGTTATTTAATAGTTTATAGTGCCTCTAAATGAATATATTATTACTGTCTTGTAAAGACACAAATTTCCACTTACTGCTGCACGAGTTTCGAAGTGGCCTGCAGAGATGCGTACCCGAACTTGGCCAGTCTCTTCGCTTCGACACTCTGGCTGTTAAACGCTGCCACATACCTCGCAGGATTGTCCCTCTCCAGCCACATCCCTGAAACCACAACATTTTGATACAACATTAATATTTCAATTTTAATTCAACTTACAAGAACAAGTTTTATGTTTCAGGGCATTATCTATCTCATTGTTTCTTATTTAAAACACTATATTTCGGAGAAAGGATTCTGCCTCCATCTTCAGGGGGAAACCTACTCAATCGGCTCTGAAGACCGAGACATAATCCAGTCTCCGAAACATTGTATTTAAAAATAATATTAATTGTATTTGTGTACCATAGTGCCAGTTGTTCTGTATGGGTGTGATATATTGTCTCTTCTTTTTAGAGAGAAAATACATGAATTACAAGTGTTGGAAAACAAAATGCTCAGGAAAATATTCTTGGATGGGATAGACCAATTGTGACTAAACTAAACTAGACGACCGGTTACTGGGTGTTCGATTTTGAGCAGAAGTAGAAGTTGATTTCCTCTTCACAGCTTCCAGAGGCATTCTGAATCCTACCCAGAGGGACTTTTCTTGGAGGGAGGGTGAAGCAACGGGGCGTGAAACTGACCAATCACCTTCATCCAGAGAGTACGGTTTCCAGCGGGTGGGGCCACTAACCGCACCCGCTGGCGCCCATTCAGGTATATATCCCCAGGTTTAAAAAAATACAGGAAATACGCTGATATTAACCCTGTAAAGCCCAGTGCTTACTGTATGCACGTCCTGCTTGAACATACAGAAACAAATTCTCTCTCCTTGCTCCCACTTTGGAGCACAAGGCTGATTTTCAGTTTAAAGATGGTAGGACTCCTTGGATGGGTGATCAGCTCGTCGCAAGGTCTCTACCCAAACACAGGACAACACAAACATAGAACAAACGCATAAAGACACCAAATATCCGTGCCTTGTATTGGATTCGAACCCACGATTTCGGCTTCCGAGCGAGCGAAGGCAGTTCATGCCTTTGACCGCTCAGCTACTGTGACCGGCGAACATACAGAATCTCTAATTTTAACCCAGAGTGTATTTAAAATGTATGATTATATTGTATTATTCTCATCACAAACATCGATTATTTCCTTAAAGATCATTAAAAGGTAAAACTTGGCAGCAGTTGCGTAATCTGGTTCCTGTGGGATATGAACTGAGTCGTTATATATTTATTATGTGAATTTTCAGTATTTAAAGAATGAATATTAAATATTATTTTTCTTAATTTACTCTTCTAGCCAAAATACTCTTGAGGGATAATTAAAATAGCCTTAGACGTCTTAAATAAATATGTAAGCATATCTTGTCTTTACTCCTCAGAAGAATTGACTGTCTCCTCTTGAAGAAATCCTCACCATGTCCATGACCTAGTGCCACTCCTCCATACGCGTTCGTGGTGTCATAATTACTTAAACACAGGAGCAACTATATTTTACATAAGTAGCATAGTAAATAAGCAATTCAGATTTCATGATATATAGGCTTCATATTATTGTTAAGAAAATGCATAAAGCGAGTACTATGTGGCACCATAACAGATAATAATAGAACGATGATAACGCGAGATATGTATGCATAAGATCGTCTTAAAATGACAAATTTCATTACTTCAGCATAATTAAAAACATACATAGGACAAGAGCGAACACGTAGCCGGTAGGTTATTTTACGAAAAGATACAGTCGATATAGAGACTAACTACGAACTGGACGGCCGAGGGGTTGGAGTTCGAGTCCTGGTAGGGGCAAATATTTGTTCCTCTCCACGTATTCCAGACCGGTTCTCTGGACCATCCGGCATCCTATCCAATGGGTACCAGAGGTAAATCGGCCAGGATGTGAAGCTGACAACTCTCTTTCATCTAGTGCTGAGATCAAGAATACGTGGATCTATACATCCACTCCAACATACGTCTTCATATTTTAGTGACTCATTAGTTAAGCACAGAGACAAATTTATCTTAGGTTATTTAACGACGCTTTTAGTATCATGACCATACAGTGTCGGATAATAGGATGTCTGTTGAAATGTAAATGATTTCGAAGGAAGCATTTGTATGGCTTTAACTGCCTCCCTATTGGTTAAATCATGCCTAAAACATCTTTGAGATTACGTCATACTTTGCGTAGACAACCTTGCTGTACGAGATTCCTGTTTATCCAACGAGATATCCAGTATGGCGGGTTTGCTTCCTACCGTACTTTTAAAACAGATTATAGTAACTTTCTAGCAATTACCTAATTATCCGCGTCAATATCTGATTATAGCGACCCTCAGTAATATTTTAGACACAGTTTATTTGTTTGTTAATTCTAAGCAGTGCTACATTAGATAGGGATATCCTAATTTGGACGGATAACATATTAGACATCTCACATAAGAAAATTTTCTTAGAAGGGGAGGGGGGACACTGCCGCGCGTGCGCGGTACAGCTGATTTGCTACACGAGTCACTAAAGTGTGTCATACCGATCTGATATAGGTGTGGCTCCTGGACATTGACCAATTCGTTCATTTTATGCAGACCATAATCAGTGGCTTCCACTATGTATGTGCGTTTCAGTGGTTTGTCTTCATCACTCCAATATCTACCACTGCGTGCTCCGACCGTGAAGAAAATCATAATGGCGTAGACCACACTGAAACATAACACAGAATTTCTTTACATGTATTCATAGTACTATGGTTAATCGAAACGTGTACGAGGGTAAATTGTGTGCCCGTGTATGCGATCACAACGACATAAAATGGGATATTGTACTATTTTTTATCTACAAATGCTAATTATCGAAATTTCGATCTAGATAAAATCTATTATTTTGACAGCATGTGACATCTGTTGGTAATTTAGTTCAACTACATAGTCAAGAAATATGTAGAGAAATCTTTTCTTACATTTCAAATTTTTAAGGCAGTTTTCTATATCATTAGCCCATAAAAGAATAGCAGCATATGACATCTGCTGGTAATATATCTGAACTACATAGTCAAGAAATATGTACGGTAAATTTTTTCCTACATTTGAAATTGTTAGGACAGTTCTGTATATTATTGAGCCAAACATCAACACTGGTAGTCTAATCTGGTGTCTTGACACTATAAGAAATAAAGCTGACACTTCTAGAAAATACAATTCGAAATTTACTGTGCTGGTTAGGAATATTTATCTTGTGTTTCATTCCATGTCACAACGTTACACACACAGAATAAAACAGCTTAGCTAAGAAGTTTATACTTCACTCAAGAAACAAGCTGAAGAGCTTCTGGACGTGCTGTGTGGTCACCATGATGCTGCGTCCTGATTACAGAGAGGACTGACCTCACAGGCCTCTCGATGCCTCAGTGTTGTACTTGCAAGACGGGTTCTCATTCGGGAAGCGCCTAGTGATAATGACCTCTCTTCCTTCAGCCTCTTGCTAAAATTTCTACCTGTCCTTGACTTCTCAGTTTCAGTTCATGTTTTATGTTGCCTTTGCTATTTGTCAGCAATAAGTTTTTTTATTGCTAGTGGGGTGGGACTAAGTCCCTTGTACTGCGGCCACTTCTGGTCTATTGTACCAGCCCCAGATGATAGATGAGGGTGATTGTGGAACAATTGGTGGAATGAAGATTGGCACGGGAAACCGAAGTACTTGGAGAAAACCTGCCCCAGCGCCACTTTGTACACCACAAATCCCACTTGACGAGACCCTGGATCGAACCCAGCGACTAACCGCTTGAGCTATGGCGCGGCCAATCCAAAGTTTATCTTATACAAATAAAAAGAATAATGCAGGAAAATATCTCTGGACTTTATGGCCTTCATCTATTGGTATACGAATATTTGTCAGAAATATCTCAGTCAGTGTAATGACTGGACTAAGGGATAGATAACAAGGCAATTGGGATTGGATCTGTGGTAGGGACAGAGATCTATATTTTCTCCAAGGCGCCGAGATTAAGATAAGGGTCCACCCAGTCTCCAATTCGGGGACTCTTCCCCAGGGATACAGCACCTGGGTCTTGAAGCTTAATCTTCAAGTACTGCATCCTGTTGTGTGTATAAATATATATTATATATAACTTTGAACATAATATTTTAATACAGCCAAAGTACGCGTATAAAACTGAATTGACCTGTGCAAATAACGATATAAATTAAATTAGATTAGTTTATAAATTATTTTACACGCTGTAGCGTAGTTGGTTGAAGGACTATGCTACATGCCGGAAGGTCGCGGATTCCAATCCCGATGAGGTCATTAGATTTTTTTTTAGTTTACCCAATCCTTCCAGCCGTCCTATGGCCCTGGGGTCAACTCAGCCTTTAACAGAAATGAGTACCAGAAATATTCTTGGGGATAAAGGGCGGCCGGCGCGAAGGGCTGACAAACTCACCGCCGTCTGTTAGCCGATTGTCTGGAGAATGTGGGAACCTCAACATCTCACAACCCTATGGGCCTCCATGGCCTGTTACAGAGATAGCTTTACTTTACTTTTTACCTACTAGTAGTAGCAGTATTAGAAATAATCCTACTACTACTACTACTACTACTACTACTACTACTACTACTACTACTACACTAAACATCATCCCTACTACTACTAGCGGTTGTGGGATAATTTGAAGTACTATCCCGTCATTTTTCTGGAGGTACTGACAAAAACCACGAAAAACTAACAAGGATAGCAGGTCCCCGAGCCGAGATTTGAAACAGGGTCATCCATTATAGGTTTCGGGACTACTAATCACTCGAAAGTAATATAAATTACTCTATTGAATTAGGCCTATAGAAATGTTCGGCGACTGAAATAAGTGCTTCAGAGATGAGCACGTAGCTGCACATAAGCCTATCACGTCCTTATGGAAGAATGCCAGGTCTCGGTTAAACCCGTTTCATTTGATTGTTTTTAATAGATAGATCTACTTTCATATTTAAAAAGTCCCGCTATTCTTACTTATGCAAGTGAAAGTTGAGGTTATGTAACATTGCATGCACGAGATGAGGAAAGCATACCAAATTTTTGTCTCAGAGCTGAAATGGCAGAGACTGATTCTGAAACCTAAATGAAGGGATAATAATAAAATTCATCTTAAATAAACTATGTGTGAGCCAGAGGGAAAGAGACCACTGGGAAGACCAAGGCGTAGATGTGTTGATAATATTAAAATGGATCTTGGAGAGAGGACGGTACGGTGTGGATTGGATTTATCTGGCAAGAGTATTGGGCATTGACCCAAGGAAACACACTATTTTCTACATGTATTTGAAACTTTCTAGTTACAGCCACCAGCACAACAATTAGCTTGAGACTCACATCCGGTCACGTGATGTACACGCACACAAGACACGCAAGTCCATTGCGTGCAAATAGAGAAAGCCACAAGCAAATCCAAATTACCACACAACTCTTCATACTATTATACTATAGCACCTTGTTGCACTGCATATTCCAGCTACGTGTCCGTAGTTGTCGCCGTTTTTGTGCAGCTTCCTTGATATTTTAATATGCACACTTCAACGTCTTATCTTCTCGTTATACAACACTACATGTTTCGGCCTAACTGTCCATCGTCAGGTGTATAAGATGTTGGATTAAAGGAAATTATTAATCTATTATCATGCTCACTGATATATTGGGTTTCTGGACTTTATCCATCGTCCTGGTTTTTAAGATAACAAATAAAAACACGACGTTTCGGAAACTGGATCTGTTTCCGTCCTCAGGTGAAGGAAAAAGGAAACACCTATTCAGATCCAGTTTCCGAAACGTCGTGTTTTTATTTGTTATCTTAAAAACCAGGACGATGGATAAAGTCCAGAAACCCAATATATCAGTGTGTTATACACCATCGTCAGAATCCTATAGTAACTACTTATTATCATGCTGTTCTGCTTTTCATTTTTATGTAAATTACTTCCAAAATATTTTATTTTCTGTTATTCTTAGATTTTCATATCATTCTTACTCTATTTGGGGAAATAAACAAACAAAAATCACAAAATTATTCAAAAGCACGAAAATAAAAGTAATATTCAAAACGCAGAACACAATACAAAACTTAGCGAAACAAAATCCACAAACAAATACAACAAAAGTAGCATCTACCAAGTAAAATGATTAGGCCGTCGACTAAAATGCATAAGGTAAAGAGGCAGGACGTTCCACACTAGATACAAAAACATATATAAGCAATTATAAATAATAATAGTAATTATGGGTACTCAAACCACATATTAAACACAGGACATACTCGTAAATATGGGACCATATCAGATAAAATTGACATTGGAAGGACATATAGAAAAGGAAAAGGCTTAAACACACTGGACAAATACTAAACATACAAGATCACCAAAATAACTTGCAAATGAATAGCACAAACATTTAAACACATAACCCAATATTTAGAGCACTGCAGGGAATGAACACCAGGTAGCAGCACACATGCTTTGCATTCTATATATATAAACAGAGTCAACTATACGGAAACATTCAGAACAGCTGCACACGACACAAAAGAATGAAATGAAAACACCAGTAAAACGTAAGTAGCACCACAAATGCAGTGACAGAGCAACAAAATATAACATATATTATCTTATAAACAAAACACTAATATGATACAATTACATATTGCTGATAACCAGACACTTGCATACAAATAGAGAAACAAGGGCATGATTATCTAAAAATAACACGAATATAATATTTTGGAAGTATTTTGCATCAAAATGAAAAGCAGAACGGTGTGATAACACAGCATCTGTTTTCTTTAATGCAGCATGGCGTGCGCCTGACGTTGGACAGCTAGACAGAAACATGTAGTGTTGTATAAGGAGAAGGGAAGAAGACGTTGAAGTGTGACTGTTAATATCTCCACGAAGTTGCACAAAGACGGCAAGAAAAGAGAACACAAAGTTAGACTAAGACACAACATCATGATTGGTGGAACAAAAAGTTGATCTGTGAGGAGCACGAACAGAGAAGAAAAAGCATCAGAAAATTGCAGAAGGTGTACCTTCTCTCCAAAAATGATACAGAACATTAGAGTAATATGGCGGTATGGGCCTCCATGACCTGTTACAGGGATGGCTTTTACGTTTTACCTTTTTTACTGCTAGTGGGGTGGGACAAAGTCCCTTGTACTGCGGCCACTTCTGGCCTATTGTACCAGCCCCAGATGATAGGTGAGAGTGATTGTGGAGCAATTGGTGGAATGAAGATTGGCACGGGAAACCGAAGTACTCGGAGAAAACCTGCCCCAGCGCCACTTTGTCTAACACAAATGCCACTTGACCAGACCCGGGATGGAACCCGGGCCGACGCGGTGGGAAGCCAGCGACTAACCGCTTGAGCTATGGAACGGCCATAGTTTTGTTAAGTTGTGTGTATGTGTTTCTTTTGGAAAATAAATGTACACTGATATTCCAGTCGATAAGATGACTTCCTGCGGCCAGGTGACCGGGTTTAATTCCTTGAAAGGCAGGCCCTTCACCACCAAGTCCAGACCTGTTCCTGGTCCCAAGTAGCCTCTTTCAAACGAGTACCGGGTGCGTTTTTATCCGAGGGTAACCTACTAACCTCCATTTAGTGTCGAGGTTAAGAACGCACTCACAACTCCCCCATACGGCTCCACGTCCAGCTCCTTAATGAA